CCCCCCCCCCCGGCCCAGCCTACCACCACTCACCCGCCTACCGCCCGACCCAGCCTACCACCACTCACCCACCTACCACCCGGCCCAGCCTACCGCCACACCCGCCTACCACCCAACCACCTATGCAGCCGCCTGTCCAACACTCACTCATCATATGCACACACCCCCACCCCCACTCCTCTACCCACCCAAACCCCCATCCCTTCACCTACCCAGTCATCTATCCATCTGCCTCCTTTCTCATCCTGGCCATTCGCTTTCCCCTCCAGTCCACTGGCCACTCGCTGTGGACATAAATATGGATGTGACTTTGTAAACCATCAGATCCTGGTTGGAAGTTCACGATGGTGCTAAATATCCCTCAGGAGAGGATCCGTAACACCTGCCATATGCCAGCTTTGTGTTTGGTACTTTGCTGAGAAGGAGAAGGGCCCCTTCTCCCTGACCTCCTGCACAACTGACCATCCTATCCCTTTTAGGGAGCATCAGCCTAGACCACGCCCTGGAAGGGTCCTACCAGCTGTTGGTACAGGTCAAGGATATGGGTGATCAAGCCTCAGGCCACCAGGCCACAGCCACCGTAGATGTCTCTGTAGTTGAGAACACATGGGTACCCCTAGAGACCATCCATCTGACAGAGAATCTCAAAGTTCCATACCCACACCACATGGCCCAGGTAAGTGGCTGTCAGTGGCTGAAGCAGCCCTGCAGATGGTGCAGCTGGGCCTGAGTCCCACAGACATGTGGGGGTGGGTCTGGGACCCATCTTCACCCCTGCTCCTCCCTTAACTCTTCCCATCTCTGCCCACGGTGGGATGTAAAGGCCCTAGGATCAGGCCCATAGTCCTCCGCCTACCATCCTCCGACCTTCTGAGTTTGCCCAAGGCTTCCTCGAGGAGAACAGCTGCCACCTCCAGCTGCCATGGGGATTGTCACCCAGACCAGGAATGTCTCAGGCCTCCTCTAGGAATGCCCTGGGGTCAGGCCCAGCCTGAGAGTGCAGAGAAGAAAATAACCTGGTCAATCAAGCAACTGGGGCAGGGTCCAGGCATGGACAAGGGCGAGGCCACTACAGAGTGAATCTGGACCTGGGAGCTCAATTTGTCTACTTCATAGCAAGTGTCCCAAAGGACCCTACCTAGCCTGCAGGCCCGGGGAGGACAGCAACTTGCCTGGGGTGGCACAGTCATGGGGGCCCAGGCTCCTCGCCCTGGAACCAGCTGAGCACAAGAGCTGGCATGGATTGTTTCTGCCCCTCGGCCTGGGGTGCCCTCATTCTGCATCCCCTCCCAGGTACACTGGAGTGGAGGAGATGTTCTCTATCACCTGGAGAGCCAGCCCCCAGGGCCCTTCCATGTGGACGCAGAGGGGAAACTCTATGTGACCGGAGAGCTGGACCGAGAAGCCCAGACTGAGGTGAGGTGACAGGGAAGCCAGAGTGCAGGCTGGGGGAGGCCTAGTCACTGTCCAGTTGGCTTTTGGGGATGTCACATCCCCCACAGATGCTGAGGCAGTGGAAGATAGCCCAGAATTGCCGGAGCTGGCCACCGGAAGGGAACTGAGAGCCAGGCCAGGCAGAGCTGCCCTTGGGCCTGACCTGAAGGCCCCTACTGCCCACTACAGTACCTGCTCCAGGTGCGGGCTCAGAATTTCCGCCGTGAGGACTACGCAGAACCTCTGGAGCTGCATGTGGTGGTGCTAGATGAAAACGACAATGCACCTGTCTGCCCTCCACGTGGTCCCCCAATCAGTATCCCTGAGCTCAGTCCCCCAGGTGGGCTATGGGCCTTATCAGGGATGGGGGAGGGGTGAGTCCCTACGAACGACCCTATCTTGCTTCTCCCTGGGCTGGGGGCCAGCATCAGGCCCCCACATCCATGTCTTCCCCCAGCACACACGTGTACATGCACACACAGGCTCAAGTTCAGTCCAGCCCGAAAGAGGAGTGTGTGGGGTAAGGCCTCCAGGCTGGGCTGTGGTCCCACCCAGGTGGGTGCTGTCTTGTAGGCACTGAAGTGACTAGGCTGTCAGCAGAGGACGCTGATGACCCCAGGTCCCCCAATTCCCACATTGTGTATCGCCTGC